ACAGGGCCTGTGGCGCCTCCACCGGGGGTTCCATGACCCCACCCTCTCACACACGGGGTCTCTGGCGCCACCGGAAAATAGTTGGCGCTGAATGTTAACGTATCTTAACGATTTATATCTCAAAAAATTGCTCCCGATTTGCTCTTTTCGAATTTGAAATTACTCCCATCGCACCGTTTATATTTAATGAGATATTCACAAATAAAGCAAAAATTTGTTATCTGCAAAATAGATAGGAAATGGTCTTTTTACATCCAGATCATGGTACCAAAAAATTGCTCCTGACGTGTTTTATAATATTCAATGGTCAGATATCTTAATAACATTGAAATAATTTTGCATATATGTTACGTAGGCTATGACGTCATACATGACATTTGTTTGGTTACCCGGCTTTCGCTAGGGGACAAGTGGCATAAGGGAAGGACGTACTACCACTTGGTAAATATAATTCAACTACTGTATTACATTAAATATGGTTAAAATGAATGTTAATTTCGTATAAATTTCAGTAATTCCCATTTTAAGAAGTAGGAGCATAGTAGGAGGTCCTTCCCCTATGTCACTTTTTCCCCTAGGGGAAAATGTGGCGTGGGAGAAGAACTTCCTACCACTTGGTGTCGGGAATTACTGAAATTTGTACCAAATTAACATTCGGTTTAACATGTATTTCAGTACTTGAAATAAATTTACCAAGTGGTAGGAGACTTTTATTCTACGCCGCTTTTTCCCCTAGTGGAAGCCGAGTTTGCTCGTGAGTGTATGTTCACTTGAGATATAAATTGTTAAAATACGTTAACATTCGGCGCCAACTATTTTCCGGTGGTTTATTCTTATATCTCGTCTGTGGTACGGGACATGAGGTAACAGCGTAAGAAAGATCGATACTGTTCGATAACAGTACCTTCGCGTAGCAGATACACAAAACCAACTTGATGGTAACAGGGAACAAAATTTATTTGTAGGTACTGCCGTTAGATGTCATATTATCAAGTCGTCTGAATTATCGATTAAGTGTTTCTGCTAGCGTCCGATTGTTTGCATCAGTGCTTCTATCGATTCGGAGATGGCGAATTTGGTTAGTGCGTCTGTTCATTGCAAACCGTTCATACTTACTACCATGACGAATACACGCATTTCAAATTCGTTTTCAAAGTCGATCTTCTTGGAAACGAAGTTTTAATGAAAAAATGTTCTATTGTATATTTTCGACTTATTTTTTCATTTAGTTACCCTGTATATCATTTAAATGAACCTATATGTTTCATCTTGTTAGTAGCAACTTTTGTAGTCTTATAAATGTTATACGATATATTTTACAAGCACGTATGATAATAAACCCAGTAACGTGGGCCATCGATAGCCAACGCGACGTGAACGGAAAGTTATGTGGTGTTGGCGCGGCACTCCATGTGTTAAGTCATTATTTATCCAGTTGAAATATCTCATATAGAATGTAAATACTCAAAAAGTTGGCATTTTTCAGACATTTACAAAAACTTCCTTCACAAATGAATATTCATCTATGCAACTATTAACCGTACGAACTTCTTTTTTTGTTTGTTTGAATCATAAAGTTTGTTAGAATCAACTTTTTCTTGCCGAATTTTATTTTTATTTGTAATGTTATTTTTGTGGTATATAATATTAATAAATTAAGACAAATATACATGAATGTACTTCAAAGGACAAACAACGCAAATCAAATGCAAACGATACTGGTAACAGACACAAAATGATACTTGTTATTCGCTTTTTTTAAGATGTTAGGCCAGTTACGTGTGTTGGCTTGCTGTGACTACAATTTAAAAATGTTTGCGATTTAAAAGAGCCTATTTAAAAGAAATAAGATCATGTAGTATGAATACTTTTGGTTCCACATTTTTTGAGTCTTGGGTGGGGGGGGAGGGTCAAATTTGCGAATTATCATAGTTTACGAACAAGCAAGGCAATGAAAACAATCCTTTACGATTGAAACAAAAGAATGGAAGTTCGTACGTTTAATAGTTGCGGAGATAGAATTTATTTGTGAAAACGGTTCACATAAAAATCGGCAGTGTGCCAAATCTAGGGGTGAGTATTTTTTAAACAATTTAGAAACCAGAAAAATGATGATTTAAGTGCTTCCGAATTTCACATGGACGAGAACATATTTGAATTTTAATAATTTCCTAGTATTCGAGTACAAAAAGTAATCGTGCAGCGTGAAATGACGTGAAATGAAGTGTTGAACAAAATCGACCGGGTTTTAACGTGGTCATTGAGTTCGTTGCGTTGCTGATAGAGGGTGACGGGGTAATCGTTTTCGGATGCATAAAACGTAGAACCCTTAACACGTAGAGACATGTGGTTTTGTAGCAGAAATGCAAATTTATTAAATACAGTTGTGATACGTACAGAATTCTTTTCGTTTCTGGGAAACTATCGACAACAATCTAATCCTGGAGTGTGCAGTCGTCAAGAAAATCGTAGGGCAAGGGGTTAATGGTTAAACAAGTTGACGGCAGTTATTAATTATGCACTATTAAATAATACGGCAATCTAATATCTTTTCGATGTCGATTTTTTCAATACAGAAATCTCATATGAAAAAAATTCATTGTATATTTTCGATTTAAATTCCTACGAATTACATGATTTCCAGTCATATCACCATTTCGCATGCACCCTGCAGTGACTCTTTAACTCATTGTATTACATATATTCTTTAGTTACATAGGAAATGTCGGTGTTTTTAGTGGAACTTCTTATTTTATTCTACTTGAAAGTATTTAATTAGTTAAAGTTTGATCATTCAGTCTACAATAAAATACACGTATAAATTATTATGAAAAACCTAAGTTCTTGCAAGTAAATTAATAAATTTAAAGCTGATTTATAGGAAATATTATTAACAGTAGTCTTTTTCTTGAATGCTTTCTTTGTTACAAAATAATCTACACCAGGACCGTAAATAAAGTTTCATAAAGTATACCTTTAAGTTTAACTGAAGCTTTTGAAGTATAAATAAACATAGATATTTTAATGATATGATTTAATTTATTATTAATCCTGACAAGTAGTTGTACTGGTAAAACGAAGTGCCTCATAAAAAGTACAGATCAGGCTTTAATTTAACATGCAAACAATGACTACTATTAATAACATTCATTTGTAAAAGCGGAACCAAATGCTATTAAATAATTAATAAAAATCTAATAACATTCTCTCTGACTACTTGCCGACCAAGAGAATAGGTACTAATAAATTCACGTGGAAATAGTCCATCTACAACTCGTATGTTGTTTGTAACCACAAATTCCTTATCTACTAATTCCCCAGATAACGAATGAATAGTAAATACGTTTCAACTTCTCACACGGTTTTCTAACATTTGTCTGTTCGTCGTGAGTTGAACAAGGCGAATAGTCTGTACCTGTAGTGATCACCGGTGGGGGTAGGGCAAGGAGGTATGAAAACTGCTGGTAGAATGCTTTAAGCTGCCGCCGAAGGGTGGCGAAATTGCACGAGTCGTGCCGAGCTGAACCGAAGGCACGGTCGCCCCTGTCAGTAGGCCTGCCGCAACGCAGCAGTGAACGCGCCTTCTATTTTGCGTAGGGATCTACGCGCCTCTTGTTCGAATCTTATGATGCCTGGTGTGTTTTCAACTATCGTCCGCTGCTACAACCATTTTTTTATACAGTGTTTAATAAGAAAAAACGATTACATCAAGTTACCATTCGTTTGAGCTGTATTGTGAACCGATTGACCAGACTTGATTGATGTACAATCGCAGTCATCTTGGTGTCTTTTTCAACGTTTCGTTAACCTTGATATCTAATTGTAGCAAATACTAAACATATAAGTAAGTATAGTGAATATAACAAAGAAAACTGAATCTTTAAATACCATTCGATATTCTGTGAACGTTGACTATCTTTAATTTTTTTCGTGCGCTGTAAAGCTTCTCAGAGTGGACACGTTGAGTGATGAATGAAAATTTATCAAGGGCACAAGAGCAATTCTGGAACCCCATTTCAAGTCGTGCTACGGTTAGCCACCGCATTGAACCGTTGGAGCGAATCCAGACCGGATTCAAGGACAATCTTCACCATTCCTTATTACCAGTTTAGTGGAAATCTAGTGAGTGCGGGGATTAGCAATTTTCGTTTGGCGTGGGATAGGTTCGATACATTGTCACACCATGGAACTCTTCTGATGGCAGCCTACACGCTCCGTCGTGATATTTTCTGATGGATCCTAATCACGCCGCTTGGGTGTTATCGTCAGCATCGCTGGGGCCGTCTATTTCCATCTTTCGATTCTTGCATCCCACGCGCAACCTGTTCTGAAAAAGACCGCTGTTACGTCATTATCGGCGTACGATGACAGAAATCTGTGTGAAGTGTAGTCACGTATGAAGTGGTCGTTAATGGACCGTAGACGGAACATACGATTAGCCGACCGAGTAGTTCCATTAATAACGGCGAAGATACTTTATAAAGAACGCGCGTAATCACGCAGATGGGGGTGATGTGTTGGCTTAAAAAAGGACGAGACCCTTCGGTGAGGTGCACTCTCGTTTGGCGGTTTCGTGAATGAACTCCGTTTAACGCCTCCGTTCTATAGCTGTGGTACGTTCCCCTGTTTAGAATCGTTAGTACTTCGAACTGCCGGTTGTTACAGGAGATAAGATGCCTCTGACGTTTTTGTTCCATTGGAATAGCTAATTCACGATGCACCAGTTAAATAACGAATTATGAAAGATCTAGAGGTTGTAATGTAAAGTTGTGGAAAAGCAAGTGTACTGTGAAGTTCATGCGATGATCTTCACCGTCGGAGAGCTAGAATCCCAGGAAACGTGGGATTGATTTCCGGGGACCTAAACCATCCGAGAACTGATTCATTGAAACTTATCAGTTGCCTCGACCTATCTGGCAATTAAGGAAGACGATCTTCGAACGGAAGGGATGAGAAAGAGCCTAGAAGGACTTGTCCATTCGAACGCGCACAATCGCAGGATGAAGGAGATGCTTTTGTTGATGAGCATCATGGTTCGATTTGTCGCGGCGGAAGTTTTCCTCGGCAACGTCGACGAGCCAAGTAAGTGATTGAAACTTTTAACTCGCGTTAAACTGTGCTTCCGCGGGCGTTCATTTAAGATATACGATCAATTCCTTGCCCGATTAAAGGGACACGGTACGGGCCAGGTAAAGACGTTCTGGAGTCAGTTCTCGGTGCAAGTTATGAGTGAAATATGATGAATCTTCTATCTTGATTTCGGACACGATTTTACCAGCGATGAAACTCGAACCTAAAATTTCATAAACGTCAAACCAAATTCGGTTATATCGCCGGTAATCGTTTTCCGTTCTCGCAGCCAATCTGTCCCAGAAGATCCATTCACTGCGGCGTGAGTAACATAACCTGTCCAAACGTTATGTTAAACGTTCGGCACCGCGAACGTTGCAATTATGCCAGCAATTAATGGGGAAATACAAACCGTCGGTGTGTCAATCATACATAAAGATGCTATCGATAGGCCCATAATCGTTGTGAAGCATTCATGGCTTGTAATGAAGCTACCCGTGGCTGGCGTTGGTTACATTGATGGCGTCACGGGGGATGGGGGGCAGAGTGAAAAATGCACGGGAGCACATTAATTTAGTTGCGGTTCAGGTTTGATGGTATACACGGACGGTATGGAGAATTCGGTTGTCAATAGTTGTTTCACGGGCAGCGTAGGCCAGACTTCCGTGCTCTACGACATCAGGTTGGACCGCAACCCGTTTAATTTAATCGATGCATTATGCAAATTGACATAACGGCTCCACTTCGGATGCAGTAATCGACCACCATCTCCCGACTGATTCACAATTGGACAATGTGTACATTGAATAATTGGCAGTAGCGTGCTGCGGCTTCACAATCAAAGGTACTGAACTTCTCCTTCGTGGCTTCAAAACTCGGAATACTGGACAGATGCGAGGTTATGAACAAATATGAACCTTCGTTAGCTCAATCTTTATTGGCTGAGTGTACCTGTTCGGAAGGTGCATTCTTAGAATTCTTAAGATTACATTCTTAGAGTCGTGTCACTCACAAATTTGTCTTATATTACGTGGCCCCGAATGTTCGTGCAGTTTTTCCAGTGTATTTAGTTCGACAGTTGGTGTGGCAGTGGTTTTATTATATATTGTTGCCCTGACGCTTCAGAGGGCCATAAAAATCCGTAATCTACCCGTTAGTACGTAAAATTTGTCCTCGGTATATAATTTTTGGTGCGAAAATTCGATGGAAAATGTCTGTTGCTAACGTTGTTATTTTTGGGTGTCTGCTTTATGAGTTTAAACTTAGAGCAAAGTTTTTTCAGGCTGCCCGGAAAATTTGTACGGCATTCCAAAGAAATTGTGTAAATGTAAGAGATTGTACTGTTGAAAAGTGGTATAGTATCACTAATGTAGTATCACAGTATCACTAATGATGATTTGAGAGATGCTGTCAATACAGATTCAAACACAACGTGTAAAATGTTCGTTAAAAGGTGTTATGTTATAAAAAAAGGTGTCCATATTCACCTACGCACAATCGGAAAAAGTTAGAATCTTGAAAAATGGATACCTCATGATTTAACAAAGGATGAAAAGTGATAGAGGGTTGGTGGTTGCATTTCTCTGTTATCTCACCAAAGAAATTACAGTATTTTTGATCGCGTATTAACCTGCAACGAAAACTCTATAACATGCACCGATAAAAACGACCACACTACTGGTTATCATCGGGAGAACCAGCTTCACATACGTCTAAACAAGCACTTTATTAGAGGAAAATCTTATCAAGCATTTGATGGTCTTCAACTTTTATCATAAGATCGAATCATAACAACAACTTTGTATTCATCTCAACGTCAACGGGTGCGGGAAGAGTTGCGAAAAAATCAATTGTTTTCGTAAGCCAACGCGAGACCACATGCAGCAAAAACCACACTGGACAAAATTTCAGAACTTTGTCCGGAAATTTGAACTTATCCTCCCTATTCTTCAGACCTTTCACCGTTCGATTATCACCTTTTTTGTCCATGCAAAGTGATTTAACAGATAAAATATTTTGAAATGAAGACTGCACTGCGGCAATGTTGTTCATTAAACGAAACAAATTGTGATAAAAACGGGATCTATACAATTATATCGCGTTGGGAAAAGGTTATCGAATCTAATGATGACTACTTCAACGATTCAAAGGTGTTGAAATGAGGTCTGTGAAGTTAACACCCCCAAATGCAAAATTTCATAAAAAACCAACAGTATTCGTTTGTCCACGATTTGTCCACATTTGTCAAACCAACATTTTCGTTTGTCCACCCAGCAGAATCGAATTATTAACAAAACTCATATACATGTACTGAGATATGAATTCAGCACCTTTAATCGCACCTTTTAATCATCCATTATAAGCATTGGAATCGTTTGTCCACGATATGTCCACGTTTGTTCACCCCAAATTTTTTATTTGTCCACCCAGCAGAATCGAATTATTATTAACATACAAAAACACAAAAAAGTAAGATTTAATATTGACGGCGACAAACGAAAATTTTTGGTGGACGAACGATTCCAATGCTTAGTTTAGAGACAATGCAGCAAGAAATACTCAGAGCTGTCATATCTCATTATTTATGTTTTTTGTTAATAATTCGATTCTGCTGGGTGGACAAACGAAAATTTTGGTTGGACTGTTGGTTTTTCATGAAATTTTGCATTTGGGAATGCTAACTTCACAGACCTGTTGAAATGATATTGAAACTTGTCGCCGTTTCAACACCGCGAAAATCGCACAAACTTCCTAGGGCATCTAATACTGTTTCGTTGTAAAGGAAAAAATTGATTCCCATAATGATTCCATGGAATTAGAAAGACACACGTAAGTATCAGTGTAAATCTTAGACTGAATACTAAGTGTATTAAATTACAGTAACATAAGCAAACAATTGCTGCTTTCTAATTAGCTAACATCCATTGCATTTACCGATACGTGATCTGTCGTATTACCAAGGAAGAATATTCTGTATCAACCGTTTGTACATTTTGCTTGAATTTCTTGAGATTGCATATATTAAGTGTATTAATTAATTCATGGCCCCCACAGCTAATTATTGACTCAGAACCGTCATAATTTTTTCGAGAGGTAATTCCCACATTGTCTGAGAAGGAAGTAAGTGTGTAGAAAATGATAAACAATATTTTCAAGACTGGACTGTTTTTTGTTTTTTTGTAAATAACCAATAAATCTATGAAAAGAAAGTCACAAATTAATTTACACACCTAATATGTTGTAACAATGAAATAATGTCAAATTAGTAGTGTAAAGTTCAAGGAATATTATACACGGCTACTGACTTGCCAATACTTGTAAGACGAATTTGAAACACGTAGGAAATGTTAATATGGTTGAATATGTTTTATTTAAAGTGTGAGTTTAATTGGTCTTATCGCTTTTAACACGTTTTAAAACTAAAAGTACCGCCTTCTATTAAAAGCCTTTTAATCAACTAGCCCTGACTATGCAATTGTGAAACACAAAAGCAGTTTTATGTTTTCAGTGAATATAACATACAAAATAAAAATTCGTCATTTTCATGGGTTTGGTAGTTCTAGTGTTAAATAACTGTTTTTACATTCAAATTATTCGGTTAGAACGCAGAGGCACTGTTTCCAATTTGATAACAATTTTTTATGCCAGTGCCACGTGTCAGTTTTTACTAAAATATGTTCTGTTGCGAAATTCAATCGATAAGCAGAATGTTCCCGGTCCTAGTTTAGCGTAAAATGAATAGAGACCAGGGACCGTTTATCATGGCCACATAAAAATTACGGTACCGCGTGTAACACGACAACGCGGTCAAGAAACCACCCCTTCTCTACGTGTATACAACAATTTGAGGGCAAAGTAGGTAATATTCCTGTTTGCCTTCTACCACGAACGGCAAAATTGCAATAAATTCGCGATATTACGGCGCCGCGAGGTTTCGTAAATAACGCATAATCGTGTAAAAATGCAATGTTAATACGGTTCGATCGCGTAGCACCGTTGACAGTCAAGCTTAATATATTTCCTGAAATACTCGGCACCTTTTTCTTTTCTCTGAGAATGTTGACATCGAATAATTTTCGACACGCGACTATGGCACACGCAGTACGGTTCGTCGTAATATGTCTCAGTAAATAATAATATGGCAACATTGCTTCTTTTTCTCGTTTAATTGCCAAATTAAGTTATAAGAATCTATGCTGTTTCATGCGATCCATGGAGAAGTGTTTCCGTATGTATGTAGGATAATTTGCAAAGTAAGTTGAAATATTTTATGGCTTTATTTTCTGCATTTCGGTATAAAGAAGGGATGGAAATGCTTCATGTACACCCACGAGCAAAGTCGGCTTCCGTTGGGGGGAAAAGCAGCGTAGGGGAAGGGCCCCCCACCACTTGACCACAGAAGTCACTGAAACTTATGCCACACTTACATGAAAGAACCACATTCAGTTTAACATTTATTTCGGTACTCGACGAGCAACCAAATTTGCGCGTTTGAACGTTCGAGGGTAAAAGCGATGTATTTTAATGACAGTGAAATGAGTAATAAACACAATTGGTCACCAGTCTGTCAACAGCCAGCGTGTATCGGTTATCGTTCAGTGGTGCCATCGTCGCCCATTGAACGATTGGCGAAACAATTATTCGGACAAGACTTGTTAGCGAATTTGTTATCGTAAGCCACCTATTGTAAGCGTTGCCCTCAAGGGCAGGCGCGTGGCGTTAATAAACGTCTAAATTAACGCAGAATGATTTCGATTCATTCGCAAACCGTCTTCTGCCGTGAGGAGACTCTCCGCATCTTACTTACGAACCTCGACCTTTGTGCGTGCTAGCCGGCAACCGCCACTCTCTCGTAGTCTCCTCTCTGCGTAAATTTCGGAGGTATCGGAAGTCCTACCCGATACCGGCACTCGGGGAGTGCCAGGCGTTCAACTAGTGGGGCCCGAATAGTTGTGGAGACCGAGAGAGGGGCTTAGTTCGCGGCGGACCACGGTCACACGGTTCTCCGGGCC